TTATTAGTATAATTCTTTTGTTATTATTTTGATGGTTATAAAAGAGAGCGAAAAATGTTTGTATAGAATAAGAAAACAACAAAAAGAAAAGCAAGATTATATGTTGGCCTTGCTTTTTATTAGGCTTCTAATATTTTTTCTTCTTTCTTTCTTCTTCTGCTTTTTCTTCTTCTTTTTTTTTCTTCTTCTTCTTTTTCGTTTATTTTTATTTTTTTTTATATACTTCTGCGTATGTATGTTCATGTAAATGTTTTTCATGTTTACTTATATATTTGCGGCCCTGTAAGCTTGAGAAAGCAAAGGGATAGTACTTTTATATGAACATTTCTCGTTGTTTTACCAAAATTTACAGGGTACCATGCAATTAAGTGGACTTTCTTTTCCTCAATATATGCAATTTTGAAAAACTCCTTTGTATAACCTCGTAAGTTTGGATTCAAGGTAAAATCCCTAAAGATTGTCTCAGTTCTTCAACTGAAAACTGTTCCCTCATTATCTCTCTTGCACAAACAACAGCAAATAGCTATCGAGAAATGTACTCTCTCATCGTTCTAAACATATTTTAACTCTTAACCGATCTTATGCTTACGCGTGCGCATAACAATATGCACGCCTATTAAAACTTTCTTACATTAATCTATTAATCTAAGGTTTAAAATCGTTGATTATCTAATTCATTATTTGTTGTTACGTATGCCTTCGGTTAACGAAAATAAACTTTTTAATCAACGATACTTTGCACCGAATTACACGGACAAGTCACATTGATACACTATCGTATTAGTTGATGTTGAGTTTGCCGTTTGATGCCGTTAGAAAAATTGGGAAAGTCGTGTGAACGATGAATACATAGAATATACGTCGGAGTGCTTTTTTAGTTTCACTTCAAGCGTGTTCCTTGACCGATTCGGCTAATTGGCAATAGCGGCTTGTGTGCAGGAGTTGTTGCAATGTTTATGCCAAGTTCGACCTCCTCATTCTCATATTTGCGACCGGGAGAATGATTGTCGCTGACAGACCAGCAGACACGCATATGTGCGAACATAGATGCCTACATCAGTTTGATGCTTTTCAAGAATGTATGACGAATTGGTTTGTTCGATTCCGTGCTGTAAATTTCAAAGTTAAAGACGCGCCGCGTCTTCTTGCAGAAATTGGAAAAGACCGATACATTTCATCGTAGCGATTAACCAAAAAATAGTTTTCATCCGTTTACTTTGGACACAAAAAGAGTTTGATATTTGGGTGCCACATGAGTTAAGAATAAGAAATTAATGACTCCAAATTTTATCTGCGAATCGCCGTCGCCGAAAACAAACAAAAATTGAATTATTTTTGAAGAGATTTTGATAATAGGTGTTGAGACGTGGCTTATATGCGACAGTAGTGCGCAAAAAAGTTGGATGAAGTTGCACAAATGGTAGCAAAGTCCGCGTTGATGCTAAATAACGTAGCTGTTTATGTTTGGTGATTTTGATTTAAGCTTACAATTGAGGTAAAGTATCCAAAATTGATTAAAGACTGACGGAGTCATCGTTGTCGGTCATGGACATCTTCAATGACTTAGTAAAATTGAGAGGTTTTGCTTTCGGAGCTTCGTATCGCTCGAACTTTGCTCCACCCAACACCCATTTGTTTCAGTTTTTGCAAAACTTTCCTAACGGTGTAATGGTGTAATGGCTTTTAAACGGGGCCTGTAAAAATCGCTTTGCCCATTTCCTCATCCCGAAATTGTTTAATTAGAAAAATTGCTAAAGGTTATCGATAACAATGGTATCTATTTCCTATTTACCAAAATGCATTCAAAGGACTAAGAAAAAGGTGTTTGTGAGTTTTAGCGACAAATCGACATGAATTTGTTCCTCCATCGAATATTAATTAGTTTTTCCCGGGGCCATCTTACTCTCTCCACGTCTAATATCTCAGAAGTGCATCGCAAGCTAATCGCTGAGAACGGATACAGTATTTTCTAGTTGATTCCCTCCACTTCCGGTAATAGTATCTCCGCAAAATAACCAATCACTCGCTTGTCTAAACGTGTATACTACACAACTGTAAGTTGACGCAGCCGTGTTGTTTTCGTAGACGTTGGATAGTGGAAATATCAAGCAAAAACAAAAAAAATTCAAACCAAGGTCATGGTTAAGCTTTAAGCAAAGCAAAGCAAACGTGAACGTGATATATTTACGAAAAAAGCTTCCATTAACAAGAAATTTATTTTCGTATATTTAAAGTTACTGTTCTTCCGCTTAGGTTCTTGGGATACACAAGATCTGGCATCTTTCCGGCGCAACCGTCTTTTCAACTTAGGAAGCTATTAGTTGCCTTCCGTTAACATATACGCTATTGGCGCGGCTTATGCTTTAATTTATTGCAAGCATTATGCGATCTTTGCGATCGTCTGTCTCCTTGGGGAATTCGACTTTGTCACAGAGACAGTTTGATAATGCTATGAATGCACACGTAGTATATAATGTGCAGCATAGATTCTTAGAGTCATAGGTTCCGAAGATCTGATTCCGAAATGGGGTCTTCAGTAGTACATTCCAACAATAATTGATATTTATAGCAGGTATTACTGATGTAATCCTGTTCTTGAATCTTTATTGGAATCGTTTTAAAGATTATGGCAAAAATTGCGGCATTACGAAGCGATTGACTACCAATAGGTATACCGTTTGATAACATATTTTTGGAGATTCCTTCACGCACGCTGATATAGTTTCTAAGCGTGTATTTAAGTGGTGAAAAGATGCTCTTTGCGTCTATTGGCAAAAAAATAAGGATCAATCTATTCCCCTCGCATAGCAACAATCGCGAAAGATATTCAGTTGACAATGTCACTAATTATCGTATATATTGAATGCGTGCTGTTTATATTCCATTTCGATGTCCATTGGTTGTTGTCAACTTTCTCATACAGTTCTCCTCAATGGATTCTATAGAGAACTGCAACTAACAAGCAGTTTTCTTCATGTCATAAATTTTTTCCTAAATTTCTTGTAAGTATCAAAAGAATAAGGTTTTGCTACAGAATAATATGTTATATGTTGCTATAGAAAATCAAAAGGACCCTGTACGTAATAGACGTTCGAGAGAGAAAGAATATATAAGCAAAAAGAAGAAAGCTTTATACGAAAGTTTTCAACGCATCTTAAACACATTTAGTTTGATTGTTTTTTTTATTGCAAGTCCGCGTGTAGGTGTAATTTACGTGTGAAATACTTAAGCAATAGAAAGAAGAAGAAATGGGGAATTATGGAA